TACATATTGGCTTAATTATATAAAGACATTTGATTTTTTAAGTTTTTTTATTTAATATGTTTTATAGCAAAAAGTTAAAAATATTGTTTTTATTTCAAAGTTGCATGTATTTTTTTGTTTATAGCACAAAAAATAAAAAACCTAGAGGTGATCAAATACCACCAAAAGAGAGCTCTATTTGTGGGGGAAAAAATGACATAAATTTAATCTATTTACATGACCGCGCAACTTCCAGTTAAAATAATGCAGTTCTGTATATCAAAAGAAATGGCCTGGTCATGAAGGGGGGCAAATCTTCTAGAGGGCAAGTGGTTAAGAGTGTATTCTTTATGAGACATAGACTAGAAATATTGTACAGACTCCATGATCAGCACTGAAGCAGTAAAAGGGCACATTTTGAAAGGGAGACACAGCATACAACATTTCATCCAAAAAATCAACACCTAAGTACATGCAGTATATGTCACAGAAAAAAGAAAGACATTTTGTGCAAACTACATAGCCAGTAGCCAGCATTTCAGTGGTACAAGTAGGCCACATTTAAAATTGATACAATGTATGCAGTAGTTGTTCGGGCCAAATATACACAAGCATGTATACATAAAGCATATTTTTTACACTATAAAAGGAGGAATATTGTGAACACTGCTTAAGTATTATTTTTAGCATTTCTGATATTCATTTTTTTAATTTTTTATTTCAACAGAAATAAAGAAGTCAGGCCAAAGCTCTTTTATTACACTTCGTTCTGTACTGCTGTGACCAGTATTCAGCTGTCGGCTGATGTCACTCAGCCTCTTCAGGCTCTGGAAAGATCACAACTTTAATGTCAGGATCTACCTAGATGCCCGAAGGGCAGTTGTCTCAGGCCCTCAGTGCACCACTAAGAGCCTGAGCCAGCATTCCTGCTCCCTGCACAGCCCAGTGTTCCAGTGAGTGCTGGAGGAGCAGAGCAGAGAGCCGATGACTAACAGTTAGAGATGAGCGAATTATTCAAAAATTCGATTCGGCCGATTCGCCGAATTTGCGGGAGAAATTTGATTCGATGCGAATTTATTCGCCGCAAATTTAACTTATTTAAAGGGTTTCTAGGCTTCAGAGAGCCTTTATATTAGTGCAGAACACTGTACCTTTAATTTAAATGCCCTTGGAGTCTGCTGGGGAAGAGAAATAATACTGTCAGTCAGTATGACATGCAGATGAGTGCCGTCGATCTTAGAATCACCGCACACTTCACTCATTTGGGCAGTCACGGGGCACAAAGAAGAAGAAGAAGAAGAATGAAAAGAAGAATGAAAAGAAGAAGAAGAAGAATGAAAAGAAGAAGAAGAAGAATGAAAAGAAGAATGAGAAGAAGAATGAAAAGAAGAATTAAAAGAAGAATGAAAAGAAGAATTAAAAGAAGAATGAAAAGAAGAATTAAAAGAAGAATGAAAAGAAGAATGAAAAGAAGAATGAAAAGAAGAAGAAGAAGAATGAAAAGAAGAAGAATGAAAAGAAGAAGAAGAAGAATGAAAAGAAGAATGAAAAGAAGAATGAAAAGAAGAAGAAGAAGAATGAAAAGAAGAAGAAGAAGAATGAAAAGAAGAAGAATGAAAAAGAAGAAGAAGAAGAATGAAAAGAAGAATGAAAAGAAGAAGAAGAATGAAAAAAGAAGAAGAAGAATGAAAAGAAGAATGAAAAGAAGAAGAAGAGAATGAAAAGAAGAAGAATGAAAAGAAGAATGAAAAGAAGAAGAAGAATGAAAAGAAGAAGAAGAAGAATGAAAAGAAGAAGAAGAATGAAAAGAAGAAGAAGAAGAATGAAAAAGAAGAAGAATGAAAAGAAGAAGAAGAAGAAGAATGAAAAGAAGAATGAAAAGAATGAAAAGAAGAATGAAGAATGAAAAGAAGAAGAAGAAGAAGAAAGAATGAAAAGAAGAAGAAGAATGAAAAGAAGAAGAAGAAGAATGAAAAGAAGAAGAAGAAGAATGAAAAGAAGAATGAAAAGAAGAAGAAGAATGAAAAGAAGAAGAAGAAGAATGAAAAGAAGAAGAAGAAGAATGAAAAGAAGAATGAAAAGAAGAAGAAGAAGAATGAAAAGAAGAATGAAAAGAAGAAGAAGAAGAATGAAAAGAAGAAGAAGAAGAATGAAAAGAAGAAGAATGAAAAGAAGAATGAAAAGAAGAAGAAGAATGAAAAGAAGAAGAAGAATGAAAAGAAGAATGAAAAGAAGAAGAAGAAGAATGAAAAGAAGAATGAAAAGAAGAAGAAGAAGAATGAAAAGAAGAAGAGAAGAATGAAAAGAAGAAGAAGAATGAAAAGAAGAATGAAAAGAAGAAGAAGAAGAATGAAAAGAAGAATGAAAAGAAGAAGAAGAAGAATGAAAAGAAGAAGAAGAAGAAGAATGAAAAGAAGAAGAAGAAGAATGAAAAGAAGAATGAAAAGAAGAAGAAGAAGAAGAAGAATGAAAAGAAGAAGAAGAATGAAAAGAAGAAGTATTCCAGTACAGCAAAAAGTGTATCTGCAGAGAGCTCCGCTATTTCTGACAGTTCTCTGACAGTTCCTTCACATTTACAGCGGTTGAAACATTGTATCTATTTATTTCCGAATAAAAACATCTGTATCCTAAATGGAAACAAATAGATACAATGTTTCAACCGCTGTAAATGAACTGTCAGAACTGTCAGAAATAGCGGAGCTCTCTGCAGTGACACTTTTGCCGGCTGATCGGGAAAAATTCGATTCGTGCACCCGAAGTTTGCTAAAATTCGGATTCGATGCGAATCAAATTTTTCCTGAAATTTGAAACGAATTCCACTTCGCCAGGTTCGATTCGCTCATCTCTACTAACAGTCATCGGCTCTCTGCTTACTGAAGAACAAGAACTAAGCTATCCACAGTCTTTGATTGCTTAGTTGTCTGGCTTAGAGGTGGCCGGGGACAGACACTGATCACAGGAGTGTACACTGACCACAGGGCAGCCCAGTAGCTCAACTGCATACTGCTCCAGTCTCAACAACCAATCATCAAGTAGGTCCTCCATTGCTAGAATGTCCATATCCACACTTCACCCCATATAAGAGATCATATGGTTTAGGGGCTGCCTGTGACTGATGCTAGCAACCAGGCCTGGCCGAGGTGTATTAAAGAAAGACATGATGATGCAAGCCACTTTGACCAAGAAAAGGGTCTTGACACTCTGGAAAGCACATTAACAGGTTGCTCCACAGGACCTCTTGTAGATGGTGTATATTTTCACTCTCTCTGTGATGGCAGGCTGAGCTTCCCTTCTAATGTATATCCAAAAGGGTAGCCAATTGTGTCTGAACATAGGAAGATTTCTTGATGGGTCAAATCCTGGGGTCCTTGCATAGGCACTGAAGAGTGAATGAGTCCTTCCTCCACACATTTCCAGCAACAGAGAAACTCCTTGGTGTTGCTGAGGACAATCGCATCCTTAACTATCATGATCCACCCCCTTGTACAACAACTCCTGAGGGTTTGAGAGGGGTGAAACATTCCTCTGAAAGCCTTCTTCATATTCTCCTTCTTATCGCCAGCACCTAGTTGTCATCCTCCACATGCTTCACCTATAACTTGTGCAGCCTCACAAGGGTGGAGTCAGGATAAAGTGAGCACTGAAACAGCAATAAGTGCTCATCGTCCTCCTCCCGTACCTCCATTGCCCAGTCTATTGCATCACACAAGTTTTGCTCCAGTAGGTAATACCAAAGGCATTGTATGCAATACCAGGCTGAGGACATGTTCCAGGCAAGGCACGTGTGTGAACTGTACTTGCCGAACAGCAGACAGCAGGTGTGTGCTGTAGTTACACATGACCTTTACAGGCACAAGATGGCCTTGTGTCAGCCACCACCTAGCCTGCCCCTGCAGAACTGACAGAATCTCTTCCCCCGATGTGGCTCATGTCCCCAAAGCATATCAGCTGCAAAACTGTGTGGTAGCATTTTCTCTGCATCATTGTGTAGGGAAGACTGGTGGTTCTGACAACTACCTGGATATTAAAATAAACCACTTCAGCACTAGAGCAATTTTTTACACACATGTAAAAATCTGCATTTTTTGTTTTAATATTGTTTCAAACCCCAAGAACATTCTATATTTTTTTGAAAGTAGAGGATCTGTAGAATAAATAGCTGTTGCAATTTTTTTTATGTTGCACAATGTTTGCGCAACTGATTACTAGACGCATATTTTAAGGCAACAAAATAAATAAATACAATTAATTTTAGTGCAAATACACACAAAATATAAAAGATGAGGTTGTGTTGAGTAAATAGATACTAAACATGTCAAATCTTAAAATTGTGTACGCTCATGATATCATGAAAAATTATGGTACCTAGAAATCTCTATAGGTGACGCTTTCAAAGTTTTTACAGCTCATTAATTTTGAGTTAATTGTGAGCTCTGGTGCTAGGATTATTGCTCTCACTCTATTGTTTGTGGCACTACCTCACATGTGTGGTATACATACATTGCATTAGATATGCGCCCTGGGCGTGTGTTATTTTTTTTTTTTTTCTAATTTTATTTTGTAACTGTATCTGTAGCAAATGTGCACACAGAGATGGATGCGACCCTCCATTTTGGCAAAGTATCTTCCATCTTGTATCTTTTCTACTCCCAAATCAGCTTTCCTTATCCCCCCTCCCTTTCTGTTGAGTGACATGTGGTCTGTTTGATGCAGATCACAGGCAGCAAACTCATTGGGAGGGTGTCATGGTTATAAATCCCACACTATCTGGTGCCCCTATGTCTGGGAGACTCTTGCTGGAGAAGGGATCGTAAAACCATAAACCAAGCCCTCACTGAACTTCAAAGACATTCCAGGTAGTCGTAAAAACAGACTTACATTTAAAAACTCACTTTTCCATATAATTTTATATCTTCAAATAGGACATAATTACATAAACATGGAGCACATATTCGGACGGCTCACTCTAATACAAGTCGCCTGGTATAATACACCCCCTAACAGGGGTGGACTGACAACTCATGGGGCCCCCAGGCAATAGGGGATCATGGGGCCCCTGTGTCCTTGCCCAAACTCAAAAAAGCCTATGAAAATCTATTAATCTACTGGTGGCAAGGCTGCTAAATGCACCGAGAATAAGTTATGAACCATGACATCAACTGCAAGACTTTTTGGTTCTAGCTTGGGTCTCTGCCCCAACTCCCCTCCCCAAATGAGGAGATTTGTTCTCTGCTTTAAGGAGACACCCTGCTGAGTTCCTAAAAAAAGCTGACCTAAGCCGAGTTAAAAAAAAGTTGAAGATTCTCCCTTTTAACATTGGAACTAACTTTGGGAGATAAGGCATCCTTTTGGCTCTGAAACCTGATCTGCTTAAAACCAAGGCTGATGGCAAGTACTTTATCCCTCTAAACTTCTTTCTGTTATCTCTTTGCTGTGCTATTGCTCTTAGTATATTTATATATATATATTGGTTACATCTCTTTCTGTAAATATTTTTATTGCACCCTTTTGACCTTTTAGTAATAAATCTTACTTTCTGAAAGTGTTGAACTGTTTCTAAAGCTCTTTAATGCAAACTAAGAATCCCTGCCTCTGAAGAGCGCTACTGTGTGTGTGTGTTTTTAAACTTCAGTATATTTCTGCCTGCAGAGACAGAGGTATACCGACGCTTATGCAAACATCATAGTGTTATTGCTAATATTGCCGAGTTTCCTCTTTCTCTGTACAAAAAAGGAGGTGGTGGCAGTGTGAAGGGTTAATTGCGTAATTAACCTGACCCAGTAACAATCCCTCTCAGGCTGCAGGTACACAGGTTGTGGTCCATTAGCTGGAAAAGCTGTGTGCAGGGTGCAGCTGGGCGTGGCATTGTTACGCACGTGACAGGGCGGTTTTAGATTGGCTAGTCCTTCGTTCACGAGTTTGGTGAGGAGGGCTGGGGTCTGACGCCGCGATCGTCACAATATCTATTTATTTAACTTTATTGCTATCACAAGGGGATAGCAAGGCTGCATTTGACAGCATTGGGTAGATGACAGGTACTGTTTATGGAGACATTCCAATGTTTTTCCCAAGCACCAGCTGATTGCAGCTATCAGCACGTGCTTAACCCTTCACTCTTTGCATGCAGTTACGTCAACATACCTAGACGTCCACAGAGCTGAACCAATTTGCAGGAAATGGGTCAGCACCACCAGCGCCTGCAGTGTGCCTTGTTCTGTATCCTTTGCATTTGTCAGCAATTTACCCAATGTTCTGTAAAAGAGCTGTAACATCCTAGCCCATGTTTGCTGGACCACATGTCTGTGGTCATGTGGACCCTTCAGCTGACTGTGTGGTTCAGTGACACAGAAACATTAGCTTCCACAGGGCAGTGATTGTCTTCTGACCAAAAAAATAGTGTCTGGATGTCTGCCACTGAGTATAGCACACAAAATCATGGGAGAGGGCAGACTCCATCAGCTAGAATGGGGAGCAGGCTTTATAGCCGACAAATTTGCCAAGCTGACTCTGAGACACTGGGTATGAGGTGACTGTGAGAATGGTTTTCCTTACATTCCAGCAGCTGGGAAAAGGAAGAGGCAAGGATGCAGCTGGAGGCATTGGGATGGGGTTAAGCTGCTTATCGTGATGTTGATGCCTAAACTTGCTCTACTCTGCATGGCTGCATGCTGACCTTCTTTCCCATTTGTGTTGAAAGATAAACCTCTCAAATCCCTTGTAAGATTCCCATTCCTATCACTTAAGGCCACAGATATTGCAAGAGATGCAGATAGAGATTCTTGTATAGTAGGGGCAGAGATGAAAAGAAAGTAGCAAGAAGGAGGAGGAGTATTGGCCTGTTGTTGCTGAATGGTATCATTTATGTGCTGCTTTCACCAAACTTTGTGGTGAACAGTCATGTGTCTCCTCATGCATGTGGTGCCTAAATGACATGCTAGATTTATCATGCAGGATACATACATACCAGTGTCTGCAGCAGATGTGTGAAGAAAGGTCCAAAATGCCAAGTCTTGCATTTACCATAACATATATAATATTTAATATAATTATTAATTGATAATGTTGAATATTGCAAAAATTTGAAGAAATCTGCTAGCAGCCAATATACGACCACTTCCACCATACCTCAATAAATTCTTAAGCCAAACTCTAAAAATAACAAGAAAAAATTACCATTGCAGCAGGGTCCCCACACTGCAAGAGTTAAATACTTGTTAACTGAAGGGCAGGGGTGTGAAACTCAATTTCATTGCAGGCTACATCAGCAGTATGGTTACCCTCAAAGGGCAGGTTGTATCTGGGTACTCTACGTACAGAGTGCCAGGTTCAGGAGTGCGTTACATACAAGGTGCAGAGTTCAGGATTATACTATGTAAAGAGAGCAGAGTTAAGGAGTGGTTATGTACAGAGTGCAGAGTTCAGGGGTGCGCAATGTACAGAATGCAGAGTTCAGGGGTGTGCTGTGTGTAGAGTTCAAGGGTGTGCTATGTACAGAGTGCAGTGTTCATTAGTGCGTTACATACCTAGTGCAGGGTGCACTGGGTGCAGAGTAAAATATTCAGGGGTGTGCCATATACAAAATGCAGAGTTTAGGGGTGTGCTATGTACAGAGTGCAAAGTTCAGGGGTGTGCTGTGTGCAGAGTGCAACCCTCATTCCCCCCCACCCCCCAAAGCTTCCTCACCTGCCTGTCCCAGCTCTTGTACCTCCCTGTTGTGAGCACATGCAGGTATATGTAAAATCCAGGAACCACTGAGTAAAGCTGTTCCTTGTAAACACAGAAGCCCTCTGTGTTTACAAGTGACAGCGGGGAGCAGGACTGGAGGGTGAGAGGCGGAGGTGGCAAAATAGAGTTCTGCCTTGTGTTTGACATATGTGTTCAGTGGGATAAGTTATAAAATATAATACTTACCTCACTCCTTGCTCCAGCAGGCTCTGGCACTCCCTTCCCCTCTGGCTTGTGGGCAGTCCCTCACGACCCTCACATACAATCCAGGTCTATTGACCCTGCATTGTATTTTATAACATCATTGCACGACCGCAACCCAGGGTATCCTACAAGAGAGGATGCACAAGACACAGTCTCTCATATGGAGGGAACCTGCTGGAGTGAGGACAAGTATTACAACCTATTTCTCATCATCAATAGTTAAGAAGCATTTAACGCTTGTAATTTGGGGTGGGGAACAACAAGGGTAGGTTTTTATGTATTTACTGGAGTTTGGCTTTAAAAAAAAAAAACTCTGTCAATAAACTAAACCATAAAAAAAGCAAGATTCTTGCAAATACCTTCATTAGTTTAATATCCCCGGCAGCTCTGAGAGACAAAGCTTAGTAAAGGCTCGGCTACCCCTTCCTACCACCTGTGCATTTTTTTTAGACAGTGACGCAGTCTATGTTAGCATTATGGCCAATTAGAAGGGCAGGAGAAAGCTGGCATGCATACACACTACCAGGAAGTGTCAGCACTCATAAGCATTCAGATATAACATTAGGGAGTTTGATGCTGTTGCTAAGTGAAGATACCTCTAGATGCCTGTGTTTTATACCTGCTGGCAGTTTTTTTATACTATTTAGCTTAGTGACTGAATTGCTCTAGCCTTTTAACAACATATGAAATTCAAACATCATAGGTACATAGTTACTCTGATTGAAAAAAGACACAAGTCCATCTAGTTCAACCAATAAAAATAGTTAAACATTGGCTTCAAACATTTGCCCATTGTTGTCTAATAAAGTAATTAATGAATTTAAAAAAAAATCCCCCTGCAAGTTAATGTCATAAAGTGCTTGTATGCACCACATACTAGCACATTATGAAAGACTTACCATCAAACGTGCTCTAACCACTGACAGAGCTTCTTCATCCAGTCTTCCTTCCGAGTTAGTAGGCTCCTGATGTTAGAATTGCTGGGTGATCATTTTAATCTTACCTCTTCTACACATACTCATTTGTCCCATAGGGTACTTTAAGGAATATTTACATAATACCCATTTAGAAGGCTTATCAAACTCATGCTTAGGAATACTTCTTTGTGACCCTTATTGATTTAATAAATTAAACTGTTCCAGTTGTTCTCCAGATGATAAACACTACATTCCCTTAGGTAACCATGCAGCTTAATTCTTCAAGAATGTTTTACGGTCCCATTTTCCAGCATAATGTAAGTTGTAATTGTTACTGTAATGTTAAGTACCAAAGGGAAAAACTTTGTTTTACTAAAATTAAGTTAGTTTGTCCCACTGTAGACATAATATTGTTCTTCAAGATTGCTTCCCCTGAGTTTAGAAATTTAACATTTCTGCAATATGAAACTGGGATGGAAGATTACTATCTTTTTGGTCAGACTTTATGGAATGGATTCTTTTCTAGAGTATATTCTGATAGGATTTCAGCCTAATGTGTGGATTATTACTGATCTTTCCCTGTTTTCGCAAACTGTAGACAGGAAAAAGAAGATCTATAGAGTTCTAGCTGTTTTGCCAGATAATAATGTTGCTATTTAAAGTAGGTTAAGGAATGTTCTGGATTTCTTTGTATATTACAACATGGTTTTAACTATACATTTCTAATGGCCAAGGGAAGAAGATTTGTGGATGAACCACTGGCTTTTTAGGTAAACTTTGCCTATATTACCCTACGTTCATAGTGATACAGAACAATGCCAAACAAAAATACATGCTTACAATTACAACCTTAGGTGACTACTCATAACAAAACTCCCAGGATAATACCAGCACTGATATTGGGCTAGTGAAAATGATCAAACTGCTACAGCTCATCACTCATTAACCTTTCTGAAGGGCTCAGTTTGTTTGAGTTGAATGAAATCACACACGCATAGCTGCATGCCACTTGTACCCCTGTTGCTGTATTATTGTACTATATCTGAAGCTGTCATGATCACCAAGATATTAATGAAAATGCAAACTAAATTTTCTGAGGGCACTGGAGTCTTCATCACTGTCATTGAAAAGTGATTTTGTATTACAATACCTTTATCTGAGTCAGGGTAAAAAAACATACAAAAACATCTACTCGTGTGGGGATGTATTATATCATTTTCCCGTTTATGGCTTCAGCATGCCTTTAATAATGCTCT